CCATTAAAAAAAAAAAAAAAAAAAAAAGTAAAAGTATGACTTATTTACTCATTCTGTGCAGATATTTTAAGTGGAGAAAAAGATATATTAATGAATTTTCTAAAACTAACTCAGGAGTCGGCAATCAAAGTAAATTTGTTATTCTGTTCTCGTTTCAAGTTATCACTTAATGTAGTGCTGTAAGGCGGGGAAGGATAGGCTCTAAGATAAAGCACCTCTCTGTTCCTTTAAATATTTTCCCAAAGTTCAATTAGGAAAAATCCATGTAAATTGCAGTTTATTTTATATAAGACGTATAAGCACGATGAAAAAACCGGGGAGGCAAAGAGGAAGGAGAGACTCAAGAGCCACTGCAGATGAAACTGTTGAGATAATCCTATATGACTGCATGACTGCATCAAAGAGTTGATAATGGTTTTTAAAGAAATGCTTACCCATAATGTCACTGTGGCTCCTGATAAAAAGTACCACGGAAGACGAGAACACAGAGGCATGTGAGGTTCCATCTCCTGTAATGGTGAAGAAATCACAAACGAATTAAAAGTTGGCCCTCAGAGTTGGGACTCCAAATAGTACTTAAAATCCTACAGCCCAGTTAAAGTAGAAACCTCCCAAATGGGCCTACTGTAGCTTATGGAAAGCTGTATTCTAGCAATGGTTCCTTCCCTTGAGACAGAAAGCTTCATGAGATATTTTAGTCATGATATAAGACATAATAAATACATACAATTTCCTGCCTGAGTGCTGAATTAAAGTTGTATTCAGTTAGACAGAGCCGGTAGACAGAAGCAAAGTCAAAACCTGCAGGTTGCTGCTTGATGAGCATGCTTTAATGATGTTACAATTTATTCTAATTGAATTGAATTAAACTGCATTGCTCTGTAATTGCTCTGCATGATATTAAATGGGGTGCCTTCTTTACATTTATAGGATAAAGTGTGTTCTTCCACATAGCTCAGGAATCCAGATTATTCCACCTTCAGGCTTTAAATTCATTAACGAGAAATTTTAATTATATCACAGCTGACATTCTTAGCTATAACAAGAGGTAGGTAGATTTTACCCAAAAGAAGACTACCATACAGTAAAAAATGGTTGACGTCAGAAATCTAAATCATGTAATTCTATAAAATATATGATTTCACATTTTAAGGATTTTCAGGGTGGGCTGAATGTAAACTCTCAACAAGCAAAGTAGACTATCCAAGAGCTCTATAGAACCTTAGGATGTGTGTGCATGTGTGTATACGTGATTGTGTACATGTGTATTCGTGTGTGCATCCAATGTATGCGTGTGCTCATGACTCAAATGTAGGAGTTCCAGTTATGCTTAAACACTGAAGAAGCACACTGCAAGTAAGTAAAAAAACAAAAACAAAAACAACACTCTATGTATTGATTTCAAAATCATTAAAGCTAAGTAAAATGGATGATTCACATGAATCAATACATATTGCTTTTCAACTGGTTTCAAATGCAAACATTCAATACATTTTTTTCTGTTAATTCTTGGCAAAACCAATAGGCCTTCTTTTGTTTATTTTTTTATCTTACGATATGGGAGTAAACATCATTCATTATTCTGTCAATATCTTTTAATATATTTTCTTAATTTCAAACTGTCACCCAAATTGTTGATGTATTTTCTGAGGTGTTTTTTCCCCTTATTCATTTACTAAATAATAAAGTTATTATTTAGAGAGATGACCTATAGCAGAGTGTCCATTGAAATATTCGATGCAATTTAATAAATGCTTAGTGAATACCTAAACTGTAAAAACAATTTTGAGTGTTATACTGCAAGAATACTGTCCTGAACAAAGTATGGAATTCTACTGAAGAGATCGTTTTTGAGACATATTCTATTCTTCTTTAAATAGCAGGTAACAAAGTGTTTATAGATTATGGAAAAAATAGGGGCTCTAAAAATACATTGTCAAGATTCTGGTCTTTAGAGGCAAAGTACTTTCTACTTTCACATGAAAAAATTGAGGTACCAAGAAGTCACGTGAATCAGTCAAGAAATACCTCCAGTTTGCCAGTTAAGGAATGTAAAATCTAGAATTTCCCTCGCAGACACCAGTGCAGTGTCCTTCACATTATAATCAACTGAAAGGGACTATGTGAAGAAAATTTGGTCTAAAAAAACAATCACTAGTAAGACTACTATCTTAATATAACTACTATTTTAATTTTTGCATATTAACTTAGTATCATTTCCATGTTCATATATTTATATACAAAGCCCAGAGCATACACACTATTTTCCATTTTCTCATTTAGTATTGACTACATATTTCATGTTAGGATGCCTTGCATTTGCTTCAAAATAATCTAGTGGCAGAGAGCAGTAGGGTATAAATAAAACCAGATTGTCCATAAATTAAAAATGATTGAAGCTGGGTGATAGGTCCCTTCATGTGGTTCATTATACTTTTCTATCTACTTTTGTATGTGTTTGAAATGTTCATATATATATACATATATGGATATATAAATTATATATATGTATGTATGTACACACACATATAAACACACACACATATAAATATATATATTAGAACCAAGTAAAGAAGTTTATATGATCTGTATGTTGGGAATATTTTAAAGGAAAATTAAAATATGCATGATTTTTTGAGAGGTAAACTATAGCAGTGTGTCCATTGAAATATGCTGCCCATCTCACAGTTTCCTAATGTACCTTAGTCACAGGATTCAGTTTTCTGTGTGTACACATAGCTTCAAATTCAGGTCTCAACTGAAGCTGCTGCTGTTCCTCTTCAAAGTCTACCAGGTCCCACTCATACTTCAATCTGGCTTGTCGCTGTTTCCAATACTCCAAAAATAAAGTGACTAGACACAAGCACATAAAAACAAACATAAACAAAAGATGGAACAATAAAGTTAATAAGAAAATAACTCTTTTTCTTTTTAAAATAACTGGTTGCATGATGGTTCATATTATTCAGGTGGCTATTCTATCACTGTTATGTTCGATGATAAAATTATCAATAATTAATGTTGCCATAATACTATGTAATATTGAAATAACTAATATATGAAAATTCAAGTTAATTTCTTAGACAGTGGCCCAAGAAGAAAAAAGATTTTAAGTATAGGTACATTACTCTTTCTTCACTCAAATAATTAGAAGTAATATTAAACAACTTTTTACTAAACAGAAGATCCTTTTTTGCATGTGTCTGAAAGAATTCAAGTCATTGTATCACTTTCTTGGGCTTAGGGAAATGTTACCTCTGAAATATATATAAGAACCATTCCCTAGCACTATCTCTCTCTCTCTCTCTTTATATACACTCATATAATATAACTTCAACTTTCAACTGAAGAATAACTTATCTACAACAAATTACATAATTCAACAAATTTTTACAAAATAACCCTATTGATGGAATTTGGATGTGTTGTCCCCTCCAAAACTCATGTGGAAATCTGTTCCCCAGTGTGGCAGTGCTGAAAGCTATTTGGGTCACAGGGGCGGATCCCTCATGAATGGATTAATGCTTTCCCGGGGGAAGGGGGGATTAATGAGTGAGTTCTTGCTCTATTAGTTCCCGCAAGAACTGGTTGTTTAACAGACCCTGGCGCCTCCTCTCTCTCTCTTTCTCGCTTCCTCTTGCCATATGATCTACTTATATCCACTGGCTGCCTGCCTCTTTCCCCCATAAGTAGAAGCAGCTTGAGGCCTGTGCCAGGTGCAGCTGTCCCAGAATCGTAAGCCAAATAAACCTCTTTTCCTTATAAATTACTCAGTTTCATGTATTTCTGTTATAGCAACATAAAATGGACTAATATACCACAAATAAATCAGCACCAATAACAAAAAATGGACTGTGACTAGCACCCTAGCACTCTTCTCTTATGTCTTTTCTAAGACATAACAAAATTTTAGGTGTACAATGCATTACTGTTGACAATATGTACAATGTTGTATAGATCTCTAGAGATTATTCATATTGCTTAACTGAAAATTTACACCCACTGTTCAGCAACTCCCCATTTCCCAATCCCCCAGCCTCTTTGAGTCTATGAATTTGATTATTTTAGATTCCTCACATAAGTGGAGTAGTGCAGTATTTCTCTTTCTGTGACTGGCTTATTTTGCTGAGAAAAATGTCCTTAAGTTTCATTCATGTTGTCACAAACTGTAGAATTTCCTTCTTTTTTTTAAGACTGAAGAGTATTCCATTGTATGTATATACCACAGTTTGTTATCCATTCATCTGTCGATGGGCATTTAGGTTGTTTCTATCCCTTGGCTGTTGTGCTGCAGTGAACAGGAGATTGCTAATATCTCTTTTAAGATCCTGATTTCAATAACTTTTGATAAATACCCAGGAGTGGGATTGTTGGATCTTATGGTAGTTCTGTTTTCATTTTTTTTTTTGAGGAAACTCCATACTGTTTTCTGTAGTGGCTGCAACATTCTGCATTTCTGTCAACAGTATACAAGGGTTCCAACTTCATATCCAACACCTGTCTCTTTTTTTGGTAACAGCCATCTTGGCAGGTGTGAGGTGATATTTCATTGTGGCTTTTATTGGCCTTTCCCTGATAGTTAGTGACATTGAGCATTTTTTCACATACCTGTTGGCCATTTGTATGCCTCTTTGGAAAAATGTCTATTCAAGTTCTTTTCCTGTTTTTTAATCAGGTTATTAATTTTTTATTTTTCCTGTTGAAAGTGATAGGAGTGAGTTATATATTTTGGGTATTAGCCTCTTATCAGATTAATGATTTGCAAATATTTGCTCCCATTTCATAGGCTGCCTTTTCATTCTGTTGATTGTTTCCTTCTGTTTGAGGCAGTCCTACTTGTTTTCGTTTTTATTGCCTGTGCTTTTGGTGTCACATCCATGAAATGATGCCCAGACCAATGTCATGAAGCTTTCCCCCTACATTTCCTTCTAAGTTTTAAAGAATTAGGTTTTATGTTTAAGTCTTCAGTCCATTTTGAGTTAAATTTTTGTGTATGGTGTAAGATAAGGTCCAATTTTATTCTTTTACATGTGAATATCCAGTTTTCCCAACATCATTTGGTGATGATATTTGTGCAAATATCATTTCCTCATTATGTATTCTTAGCACCCCTGTCAAAGATCAGTTTACTGTATATGTGTGAATTTATTTCTGGGCTTATTCTGTTCCATTGGTCTATATGTCTGCCTTCATGACAGTACCATACTGTTTTCATTACCATAGCTTCATAATATATTTTGAAATCAGTTAGCGTGATGCCTCAAGCTTCGCTCTTCTCTCTCAAGGTTTGGCTATTCTGGGTCTTTTGTAGTTCCATATGAATTTTAGACTTGTTTTATCTATGTATGTAAAAAGTGTCTTTGAGATTTTGATAGGGATCGCATTGAATCTAAGGGTAGTATGAACATTTTAACAATATTGTGTCTTTCAATCCATGAAAATGAGATGGCTCATTTTTTAAATTCCTTAAAACATTTAGAAATATAGGTAGTCATTGTTTTGCATGATTCCAATATGCATAGATTTCAGTTTCCACAAATTAGTTAATACCAGTCCCCAAACAACATGACTCAAATTTCAGTTATCATGGTATACTAACTGTGAGCAATTCCACAACGTGCAAGCTTTGCTCTTTTTTCTTCGGTCCATACTTTACTAGGTAACATATGAGGGTACTCCAAAAAGTTCATGGACAAGTTCTATCATTTAATATTGGAGTTAAAAGATAATAAAAATCTTTACATAAACTTTTTGAAGTACCCTTGTATGTGCATCTTGTCGAATCACTTCTTTTGTCTGATGGTGACTGATTACTACATTTCTGTTATTCAGTTCATTCACAAACAGAAAAGTGTGCATTTGTGTTGTCTCCTTGCCTCCCTGTGATAAATTCATGTGACATTTACAAAAATGGATAATCTAAATATGGAACTGGCCAACAGAAATAAAGGTGCAGCAAAGAAATGAAAAGTGATAACACTGGAAGGGAAATTCATAACAAACCTAAATGGAGATATAGAAGAAACAGCTGCCTGTAGGAATCTTGATGCTGTTGCCATTAAGAAACTCTGTAGATACAGCCAGAGGAATTTAGTGAAGTGGAGCTTATTGACATAAATGAGGAATGTAGTTGTGAAGAAAAGAATAAAGATGTTCCAGAGGAAGTGATATAGCCACAAAACTTCAGCTTAAAGAAACTCTCAGAGATAGTTCATTACACTGAAAGCACAGAGGATAAACCATTGAAAGCTAAACCTCAAATCACACTGTCCTATTCTTAAAATATATTTTCCACCCCCTTTGCCCATCAAAATACATAAAATCCAATTCAAATTCTATGTCTTCTAAAAAAGCTATCTCAATTCTTGCAGTCCAGAAGTAATTCAGTCCTTCTCTTTATTCCTTCAGCACTTACAATGTACTTCTACGAAAGTAGGCTTTAAATTCTGTCCCATATTAGATTTTGACTTTCATAATAATTTTCTTATATTCACTCACTCATTCATTCACTTATTTATTCTTTCATTTAATATTGGTTGAGAATTTCATGAGGTAAGAACTTTACTTTGTTTCTATTACAAGATAACAACTACAATACATTTTATAAGCAATATTTGGTTACTATGGCTGTGCAACAGATTGGATGTTCCACATATATTGATAAAACTTTTAAATACACTAAACATTAAACCTCTTTTGTCTCAAAGTTTGCAATCCTGAAGCATAAATAAGAAATTCGCCAAATAGATGAGATTGTGAGAGAAACTAATAATGGTATAAAACAGTTAGTGAAAAAAGTTCTGCAAGAAAAGAGAAAAAATAAGTACTAAAAATAGAATTGTGACTTCCATGGACTTCTTGTGATGACACGAGTCTATAGGAATCGTGAGATTCAGGTATTCTCTAAAAAGGATTTTTGAAAATTAAAGAGATACTTGCTTTCGGCAGTATAGACTGCCTAAACAGGACTTGGCTTTTTTCACATATAAGAAGGAATATAATTAGCATCCAAATTATTCATTTATTCAACATATATCTGAATACATGCCATACGTCTAGCTCAGGAACTATAAAGATGATGCTTTTTTCACATATAAGAAGGAATATAATTAGCATCCAAATTATTCATTTATTCAACATATGTCTGAATACATGCCATACGTCTAGCTCAGGAACTATAAAGATGACGGCCATGGTATTTCCCCTAAAGAAATAGGTAATGCAGTGATGAGACTGTCTTATAAGCCGTTATAATCAAAGAGGCATGTACATTTAGTGCCTCAGGGTCAAGGGCCATCTGTGTATATATGTAAATCCCTATTGCCTAGAACAAACCTGTCACAAGGTAAAAACTTTAAAAAGTACTTGCAGAATTACATTAAAGTATAAATAAAATGAAATCATTAAATTTCTGGATTAAAGTATAGGTGAGCATCTTACTCATCTTGGAGTGGGAAAGGTTTTTCTAGAGAAACAAATGAAACAAGAAAAGCCATATGGGAAAGTTTTATAACCTTGTTACATACTCATATATTAAAACTTCTATTGATTATGAACAAGTTCAAATGTAAGTGACAAATTAAAAAGATATTTGCAATTTCTGCGGCAAAGGATTACTGTGTTTATTAAACAAAAGCACCTATGAATTATTATAAAAATCAAATACTTCAAAAGGCAAGGAGAGCCAATTGTTAATAAATATTAAAAACATGTTCATTCTCACTTGTAATCAAGTAATTGCAAATAAAAACCATACTGGGACAGGAGTCACATCCACTGAATTGTAAATGACAAAAAAATTTGCCAATCCCCAGGCTTCCCCAGGGTTGGAACATAGGAAAACTCATAGAATGTTTGTAGAAAATTAAATTGGTATAACCTTTGTGTAAGGCTATATGGAAATATATAGCAAAGCCTTACAGTTGTAAATATAAATTTTTCCCATAAATTCACTTGCTAAGTGTTTATTCTTAGAAGGTAATTGTAAAAATATTTTTTTTTTAAAAAAAGTGTTTTTTCCAGCATTATTTATAATGGTAAGAGAAGTGGAAGTGACCTAAACTTCCAACAACAGAGAACTAGTTATGTTAAATGTGATAAATTCATAAAAGGCAATTCTATTCAGTCATAAATATACATTTGTGTGCTTGCACATCCCCTCCCCTCCATATTCATTGATATGGAAGAAATCCCATCACTCATTGTTTGTTGAATGAAAAAGAGGAGGCTTAAAACTTCAAAAATTTTGGGGGGGCCGGCCCAGTGGCGCACTGCTACAGTGCGCCGCTTGGTAGTGTGGCGGCGCTCCCGCCGAGGGGTTGGATCCCACGTACAGACCGGCCACTCACTGGCTGAGCGAGGTGTGGGCGCAACGCCGAGGGTTGCGATCCCGTTGCTGGTCCTGGACTCCCACGTACAGACCGGCCGCTCACTGGCTGAGCGAGGTGTGGGCGCAACGCCAAGGGTTGCGATCCCGTTGCTGGTCCTGGTCCAGTACGGGCGCGACACTGAGAGTTGCGATCCGTTGCCGGTCACGAAAAAAGACAAAAAGGAAAAAAAAAAAAAAACTTCAAAAATTTTTATTTGCTTTTACATATTGCTTGAATTTCCTATGATGGTTATCTATTTTCATTATAAACAAACCAAAAGTTTTGTATAAAAGCACTTCCTACCCTTCACTGCAAAGCATTCCAGTTTGTATCCATGACTCAGTATCCACCAGCCACCAAATACTTATATTTAGTCTGTCCTCAATTAAGTATTTATACAGCCTGTTTTTACCATGGCACTGGCAGTCAGTGGGAGATGAATACATTTGATGTTTCAAAAGTTATATTGTCTCTTAGAGAAATAAGCAGATATTCAATAGAGACCTTTGTGAATCAAGGACCAAGGAGCATTGATGTGGATTCCCTCAATGTAATGACGCTAGCTAAGACACAATGATTTAAAACCACCTTTGGTATGTAAGCTATGTCATCTGCGTATGTTATATGAATGGGCCATACGACATATAATATGGAGAAAGCTGTTTTATTATGGGACTTTATACTCACCCCAAATTCCCATGAATATTGCAAAGAACACTGTTGACTCGTTATCAAATAAATGAGAGAACTGTAAAAATAATATCACAAAGACCACTTAGTATCAAATGCAATATAAAAGGAGACAAATTCCAAGTCTTTTCCACATAACACAATGTATACAAACCTTGGAAGCCAAACACGTAGAATTTAGTCTCCAATAGTCACATACTATATCACAGAGTGGGCACATGATCATCTGACCTCCAATCGCAGGGTCACAGATTTCAATGCTGTAGAGGGAACAGCCAAGTTATTTTTAAAATGATGCGTGTTTGTTTGAAAGTCCAAGCTATTCTTACAAGAACAACCATTTGTTTAGACTCTAACATGTGACAGAGAGGGCAATGAAGCAGCAGTTTCTGCAGCTGGTCAAGTCATGCTTTAGGAATAGAATCTTTAGAGCCCATCATGAACAGCAGATTTCCTATAAGGCACAAGGTGGGGAGGGGCCAGCTACGTTTGGGTTATTTTCAGAAATACCAATTAGCTGCTGTCATAAGGAAACGTTCTGGAGCAAATGCCAGGGAAATAGTAACAATAGTTTCAGTCAGTATAAGATAAAGATGCTCTAATTTGGGCAACCCAGTTGCACTTACCTGTTTGTGTTTCCTTCCATTGATAATAAACCATAGATGAAACAAGCTAAACCAACTACAGCTGCAATGAACAGCATTTCTGTGTAAAATCCCAGAAAGACAAAATAGATACCAATTTTTTCTCCATAATATTTCCTGTGAAAGAGAGTAAAAATAGAATCATAAGTTAGAAGAATGTTATAGTATAGAGAGCTTTGGCTTTATATTTAGGCAAGCATGGACCCTAATTTTGGCTCTACTGCTTTCTAGCCATATAATCTTGGTAAAGTTACTAAGTAACTCTCTAAACTTTAGTTTCCACACGAAAAAACATAGGATAATGGTTATTCCATAGTGTAAGGACTGGTGTAAGGATTACTAGATAACAAATATAAGTAGGAAGCCAATTGAATGGACTTTAAATTTAAATTTTAAACAATAAGATAATTTGAAGATCTTCTACATTTTAAAGAGAATTTAAATGTTTTGAAATAAACTACAGAATATTCTGCAACGTAACTTCTAGCAATTATTTAACAAGTCAAAACCACATTCATAATCTGCATGGACTTTTTGTTTTACTGCTTTTTTCTCAAATTGAAGAAGGTACTCTGACCACACTGTATGTATAAATTTCTATCTTCCTTCAAGTTTGGATCTCTGAATAATGCTTACAGAGTTGTGACATAGGTAGCAGACCAAGGAATTAAAAATGATGCCTTAATAAAAATTCCGTAAAATATGCAGCTCAGCTTTTGCTTTACAAAGAGCTGAAAAGTGACAGCATTACTTGGCATAAGTGTCCGAGCTTCACAGCCAAGTGGTGTTTTGTTTTGATTTTTTTTTTAACTAAGTCCCTCTTTAGGAAACAGAGAACACAGTTTTCTCTGCCTCAGAAAACCACGTTTTGTGGTGGCTGTTTTTCAACAGGGTTAATCCTCCAACTTATCCACATAGAGCCCACTCACCAAATCAGTGAGCCTTTCCCCATGCCCTAAGCAGACAGATGTGATCCTTTTTAGGTTGTGATAGCATGTTATATAATTCTATGAAAACATTTAATATTAAATTATAATTTATAAACATGCTTAAAAGGAAGACACTCTGAACACAAAGGTTATAATCTTCATTTCTCGATGAGATTTTAAAGTATATTTCTCATACTCAATATTAATTTTATTGAACATCCCATTCTTCAGTTTTCAAAATTCAATTCTAATTAAAGAGGTATCTTAGAACTTGTACCATCTTCTTTCATTCTTTTCAGTGATGATAAGCAATTTTGCATTGTTACTTTCCCTTATTCTGCTTTCCAAATCAGTATAAATCTGAAATTAAGTTATAATGCCATCATATACCCTTGTTAATCCGCCATTCACAACTCCCTTAGGTTTACTTACACTTAGGGTGAATGAACATGCTTTTTCCCAGTTTTTACTGGAAAAATATAACAATTACTGTAATACTAAATAACATCAAAATCAGAAAAAAAGTATAAAAATATTTCACTTTGTGCAATTTTCTGTTCACTATGTCTATGTCCATTTGATGTTTAAAAAATTCCAAAATCAATAATTTTATAAGGCATAATATCAATATTAATACTACAGACAACTTAAAAATTCCTCAGTAATTCATATGGAAAGTGAGTATTTCAACAACTTTATTTTTAAAGTTCTACTTTTTTCAAATTTCAAGAATCTTATTCCTTGAGAATTAAAAATTAAAAGGCCTTCAAGAACTCTAGGCCTGTAATTATTATTGAAATGTTTTTAAAAAGAGAAATTGCTGAACATTTATTAGATGAAATCAGATGAGCATTTATCATATGTGCAAGTGTAGAAATAATTTTACTAAACTTTGAACTTGGGGAGTTTAACAGTAACAGATGAACCACTAATGCATCTTTTAAGAGAGTAGAAACAGACATCTTAAATTTGTATTATGGGAAAAACATAGATTATTCAAATAACATTTAAGGTTTAACAAATATTTATCTTATTCATAACAAAGAAAATGAGAGAATCTAATAATATGAGACACTCTATAAAGACTAAAATATAAGGAGAACCCTTTCTTTTGACTATTATTTTTTCTTAGAAAAAAATGTGCCATATATTTATATCTATGATATTTCTTAATCTTTTCATTTCATTTACTAGATTTTCAACTCATCTGTGGCCCCATAGCATCTAACATAGCATCCAATAAGTAGAAGAGATTCAAGAATATTGGTATGAGATATTGTGTAAGGGAAATGGTCTAATTTTGTGTTTCTATAATGTACTAGTCTGAGACATAGTAAATAATCAAAAGAATGATGACATAGTTGAGTTGAAAACAGTCTTGAATAAATAAATGAATGCAAAAGTTTGTTCTAAAAGGATTCATTTTTATAGTGAATTCATAGACATCTGAGAAACTTAGCTATTATATTATCTTGGCATTATAATAGCACCATAACATTCATGGTCAATGTATTTATTCTAAGCTATTTAGTATATAGCAGTATATCAGTTTTATTTCTAAGCAATAAAACATCCAAAATAGGTGACTTCAGAAGAAAAATTATATGGGGCTGTTAAATTGAAAAGAAAAAATGGGTTGACAGGGCGTGTAAAATTACAGACTAATAGCCAGCGACAGCAACCTTGGTATTTCCATTCCCTTCCCCCCAATATTATGTAAGTCAAAATGATCAGTGGCCAAAAGGCAGGAAAAACTACCTAAATATTTGAATATGAAACTGAAATATGGTATAGAGATAATATGAAATATGTGAAATCTAGGGATTCAGATTCCTATATGCTAAATCTCTTTATAGGCACTCCAAGTCATCCTGTCCTCCTTTTTTTTTAATCCTCCATATCCAATCATCCACTAGGCCTAATAAATTTTATCACAAAAAATCTTTTTCTAACCCATAGTCTACTCTGCCTCCTGTTACCAGTGCCTTGGATACGATTTTCAACATTTATTGCTGAAAATTTTAACGGCTTCCTTACTTTTCTGATTTGAGTCTTGTATTATTCTAAATTATCTTTTTTTCCAACAGAGTGATCTTTCTAAAGCAAAAATTGAACAGTGTTCTCTTCCTCCTTCAAATTTTTCATCTTTTCACCTCAGCATAGTTCACGATTTTGTTCCAGGTAACACACAAATCTCCCTTGCTGACCCTCCTACATAAAGAACTAAATGCACAATGCTCTTCTTTAGCCCAGTGCTCTGCACTTGCTCTCTTTGCCTGGGATTTTCTTACCTAAGCTTATTTATTTAGCATCCTGCTACTTATCTTTCAAGTCACAGCTCAAAAATGAATGTCATGAAGTTTTTCCTGAGGCTGTCATTAAGGCAGGTGCTTTTTCCTCTGTGCTTTATTCTTTTATAAGTACCACTGTGTTATAACTATTATGCATTTTTTATGTTCCTGCCAACAAATTCATGGTAGCAAGCCATGTTCTGATTATCTTTGTAGACCTAGCCCTTTGTCTGATATCTAGTGATGCTTAATAAATTCTCATTTAAAGGAATATGTGAATTGTAATTATGCATCTATAAATAAATTCTCTTTTTGAGGATATTTTGACATCCTCACAAAATCTTTCCTAAAAATGATAAAATCAACAAGGAGCGTTAATAACACCAAACCAAGTACAGATCTTCAGTATCATGATAGAGAACACTATGATCCTGAAATTACCTGTAATTAAAAAAATAAACCCAGTTCTAACACCTGCTGCTACAAATCTAAGAAACAGAATAGTGAAAATGTTTAAAAAATCCTAGGGAAAAATGGGCCGGCCCGGTGGCGCACTGCTACAGTGCGCCGCTTGGGAGCGCGGTGGCACTCCCGCCGAGGGTTCGGATCCCTTGTACAGACCGGCCGCTCAGTGGCTGAGCGAGGTGCGGGCACAACACCGAGGGTTGCGATCCCGTTGCCGGTCCCGGTCCGGTACGCCCGGTGGCGCACTGCTACAGTGCGCCGCTTGGGAGCGCGGTGGCACTCCCGCCGAGGGTTCGGATCCCTTGTACAGACCGGCCGCTCAGTGGCTGAGCGAGGTGCGGGCACAACACCGAGGGTTGCGATCCCGTTGCCGGTCCCGGTCCGGTACGCCCGGTGGCGCACTGCTACAGTGCGCCGCTTGGGAGCGCGGTGGCACTCCCGCCGAGGGTTCGGATCCCTTGTACAGACCGGCCGCTCAGTGGCTGAGCGAGGTGCGGGCACAACACCGAGGGTTGCGATCCCGTTGCCGGTCCCGGTCCGGTACGCCCGGTGGCGCACTGCTACAGTGCGCCGCTTGGGAGCGCGGTGGCACTCCCGCCGAGGGTTCGGATCCCTTGTACAGACCGGCCGCTCAGTGGCTGAGCGAGGTGCGGGCACAACACCGAGGGTTGCGATCCCGTTGCCGGTCCCGGTCCGGTACGCCCGGTGGCGCACTGCTACAGTGCGCCGCTTGGGAGCGCGGTGGCACTCCCGCCGAGGGTTCGGATCCCTTGTACAGACCGGCCGCTCAGTGGCTGAGCGAGGTGCGGGCACAACACCGAGGGTTGCGATCCCGTTGCCGGTCCCGGTCCGGTACGGGCATGACACTGAGGGTTGCGATCCGTTGCCGGTCACGAAGAAAGACAAAAAGGAAAAAAAAAAATTCTAGGGAAAAAAAATGTAAAGTAGGGTGGAGAACATAGACAAGCACAGATCAAGTAACTCCTAGAACAAAGTTCGACTAAATGCCAGAATCTAAACACATTTTGGTACTTTGTAATTAAGAAAGAATCTGAAATGAGCAAGGCTGAAAGGGGCGGCCTCAGAGAAGCAATATTTCTGGCAAAGAATTAGATATCAAGAGAAGAGGAGTGGTACTCCTTGAAAGTGTACCATTAAAGAGAAAAATAAATAAATAAATAAGAGGGGATCTTGTAGAAATGAAAGAAACAGGATCTTGTAGAAATGAAAGAAACAGCACATGCCAACTGTCCACCATCATCCATAAACTGCTTGGAAGAGGAAAGGACTAACAGGAGAGGGCGCTCTAGTGCTGGAAATTCTGTCCATGAATTAAACACAAATTGAAACAAGCAGAGCACATTCATTCAAAACCGTATAAAACAATGACAAACACAGAAAATGTGAAACAAAAAACTTCAGCTGATAAAAAGTCTCCCGGAATAACATGCAATTGAAAAACACTGTAATAATAATAATAGTAATAATAATAATAATAATAAAACTGCACATTGAATTAACACTCTCAAATAAATATTTGTGAATATAACATCTGAAATATTAAAATTAAGAAAAGAAATGGGGAAAAACAGGAAATGATGCTAAAATTATCAGGTACTCAAAAGAGAATAATGAGAGAGTTAAGTGAAAATCTAACAAAAAGGACAGTAAGAAAAACAGAAAACCTATCAATAGAATAAAAATGAAAAAGAGATGTAAAAAGGGTTACAAAGAAATTATTTGAAATGAAGACAGGAAATAAACACAAAATATACATATAACTGGAGTCCAAAGAAAATAATCAAAACACTGGAAAATAATTAATATTTAAAACTATAATCCACAAAAACTTTTCATAATAAAAAATTTTAAAAAACACACAAACAGGGCCGGCCCGGTGGTGCACTCAGTAGAGTGCGGCGCTTGGGAGTGCAGCGGCGCTCCCGCCGAGGGTTTGGATCCCATATAGAGACCGGTCCGCTCACTGGTTGAGTGCGGTGTGGGCGCGACACCGTGGGTTGCGATCCTGTTACTGGTCACGAAAAAAGACAAAAAGGAAAAAAAAAAAAACACAAACAGAAGCCACACATAGAAAAGATCCACCAGGAACCAGGAAAACTGACAGAGAACATAATGTGCTAAAATAATCAGACTTTAAAAAAAAAGAAACAAACAAAACATTTCTGAGCCCCCTTGTGAAATGATAAAATAATGTACAGGAGAAAAATAATTTCTTAATTAATGAGACCACACTAAAGACATTTCCA